GACCGAAGTGCCGCACGTCAGTGCCCATTCTCGCGCTCGACCACCGAGCTTTGATATGTCTAGCGCTACGCGCTGTTGCTCGGTCTGGAGCATCGCGGATGCGATGGCCATCTCGACCTCTCTCACCTAGAGCAGAAAATTCTCTCCATCTTTTCCCTCGAAGACCTTAACGCTCACCATGAGCGGCTTAGGACGGGGAATATCATCCGTCACTGACGGTGGCGTCACAGACGCAAATAATGCAGACATTTTCCGCTGCAGGTGCTCTAACAGCGCGTTTTCGTAATTGGAAAACGCCTCTAGACGTGCACCGATTGCCTCGGGGCTTTGCGCGGCAAGGTGTTGGACGCCCTCAGGGTCAAGGAAGGACATCAGATTGTTAAGGTCGTCCTGCATGCCCTGGGGCAAAGAGAAAATTGTTCCATCCTCACAGAGGATCAGTCTAAACGACTCAGGTGTGGATTGACTACAAGTGCTACCAAGTACAGCGGGGCTGCCGTAGCTTTGCGTTTTGAGGAAGCGTAACTTAGGTCACCTACCTTTCGTTCTATACTTAGAACAAGTACGAGTTTAGCGGATCGCAATCCAACATTAATTATTGCCTTAACCAAAGGCTAACCGTTTAAAATCTAAAACTGACTTTATTTATTTCTATCTGCGGCAAAGCCGCCTGATTTTATATGTATATATTTTCCTCAACATATATAGTAAAATCTAAATACACGCATAACTACTGGCTACCCAGCCACATACCGTATTCTTATTTGGGTGCAGTCACACCATGCCCATCTCGTGTGATATACACCCCTGTTACCAGGGTACGTGTAACCCCGTTACACACAAGTACGAGACATCTTGTGGAAGGAGAAACTCGCTCGCCTTCTCCTTTAGAACAAAACTGCTTATAATTGTGGAGGCTTGGTGCAATTGCACAAACTCCAGTAATAGCAGCTTTATGTCTGGGAATTGGGGCTGGCGCTGGCGTCTCGCGTTCATGTTTATTGGGACCTTGGGGGCGGCGCTGAGACGACGCAGGTGATTCTCGAACGACCAATCGTCTTGCCGAGCTCGGTTAGTACCCACGAAGCAAAATCCTGGTGACGGAGATGTGGGTTTGCCTTCACGTAGGCAACCAGCTCGTGCTTTACATATGTGTGTATTTTTGCTTTATGTGTCCTATTTTTATATAGAATCTGCTCTTAACTGGATTGCGTCAAATTTTATCAAAAAAAAATTTGACGAAAATGCAAGCAACGTGCAAGTAGCCAGCCGTCTTGATAGGGTTGACGTGGAGCTTTTTCTCGCAGCTCCGCTTTTCATAACGTGCAGAATTGAGATAGTGGATCACACATAGCTGTGCGAGAATAGGTTAAGTATTTGCGCAACTACAAGTCCGTAAGCTTCGCTCAGACGCGACTCATCGGAAACGTTGGGTCGTGTTTCGGCGTTTACAGATCACGCTGATGAATGATATTGTAAGGAAAGTGATGATTGATGCACTTGAAATCGACTTTGAGTAATCGAATTGGCGCAAACACCTTTGCGAAAGGTGGTCTACGCGAGTGGGCAGAAGCGTCTTGGACATCACCCAGTTACGTTCGATGTGCTCGGTTATTGAGACACGCAGAGATACCCGCTATATCAGAAATACCATTTGCTTTTTTTTGCGGGAATATAACTTGCGTACACGTACCAATATGTTTGAAGCCGTCACCCGCGTGCACCGTTCGCAGGTGAACGCGCGTTAGAATACAACCGCAAACTAAAATCATGGTACTTTGTGACTGATTTCGTTATAGTTGTAAGTCAAGGGCTGCATGCATACCTCCAAGAGATTGATGTTTGCACTTGATCTTGAACTCGTGCCAGCGAGATGTTTCGTACCGCTAAAATTGGTAAAATTTTTCTAATACCTGCGTTGTGCGCAAGCAGCTGAAGTTTATTACGTGTTTATTTAGTCGTAACAATTTTTAATGCGCCGATAGACCTGTTTCAGGCCAGCTACATGATGAAACGTACGCGTCTGGTTTAAGCAAGGCGTATAGATTGGTCCGACTTTCCGTCCAGAAATTAGCACCACTACGAGTCATCTGACAGAATCTGAAGGTCGAGCTTGAGGTAGCATTTGCGAGACTTGGAAAGGGCGTAACTTTGGTCCAGGGTGCCGTGTAGCTGTCTGTGGCGCATACGCTTGATACGTGTGCGAATTACATTGCATTTTTCGCAGGAATCAAGATATGGAAGTTGCTGACGTTCTGAATTAAAAAATTCGCGCGCGCTTAGGCGATTAAACATACTTCGAAACTCGCTAGCACGGGGTGAAGGCAAAGTAAGAATTAAAGTGAAGCCTAGGGCACGAGTGATATCTTACCGAACAGTATGTTAGCGAGTCGGTCTCAAAGCGTTGTATATGTGCAAGATACAGCTGACGAGCAAAAAAATAGCCCGTGGCTAGTGGATTTGCTAGTGCCTAAAATTGCGAGCTTGTTGACGGAACTGATTTTGAACAGCGCTCTGAAGTGATGAAGGTAAAGATGCGTTATCTCGGCTGAATTTTCGCTGATAATCTTGATGCGGAGAAAGTTGCTTTTGCCCGCGGAAACATTGACTGGTACCTTCACCTGCGCCGTTTTGAGGCGGTTCTTCATGGTGGAAGGGGGTCTCGGCTTTGAACGCCTTGAACTTTTTGTTGTGGGTTTGATAATATACTCCACTAACCGTTTAGCTGGTCAATGAAAGCATTGATTCTGATATTAAGCGATTGTGAAGAGCTATATTGATTTTAAGAGATGTACCGTGCCTCATTTTGTGTACACCATGCTAATTTGAATTCACTTTGCACAATTCATCTAGTATAAAATTGTTTGGTTTGTCGCGTGCTTGTCCCCTGCGAAATTGATGCCGATTTGTAGCTTCGCATTATATATTTCATGATCTATTTGTCGCGCAGGCTCGCAACCGGATCAGATGCATTCGAGGCATTCATCGCGACTATTTCTGAGCCTGTTTATCCAACTGACTTGACTCACAATGGAAACAACTTGCTCAGAAGGTCACGATTGATGTCGAAAAGCTTATTCTTTTCCTCAAGCAGCACCGAGTTTTCCCGCTGAAGTGCCTTGCATTCGCCTTGCAAAGCGTTCATCTCGCGTTGTTTCGAGTTGAGCAGCTGTTTCAGCGACTCATTCTCATCTGCGGTATATTTCAGTTGTGCTTGTAAGCGATTTGTGTAAAGACTATTTCCAAGCAAATAGTTGTGCAGCGAAGCTAAACTTTCATTTCGATAGTCTCCTTGCTCTTGATGCGCTACAGTGTCTTTTCCCTCTCTCGTCGGTGTCCGCGACTGTTTAATGCGAAGAAGAATGTTTACCGGATCGCTGAATGAGCTCGAAAAGACAGTACTTTGGCCTGCCGTCATGTCTGCTTGAGTCACTGGTGTCAAGCCTAATGACGTTGTCAAGAGATCAGGTCGGCGTTCTTTTGACGGAATAAAGACACTCTGGGGCTCATTGGGTGATGTATTCTCTGGATACACATTTAAGTCGTATTGCTGATGTTGCAGGAATCCCTGTTGCTGTTGTTCGGGACCACCGTTTTGTCGCTGAATGAGGCGGCTGCGAACAATATTAAGTGTAGGTAGCGATACGATAGCAGTTGACGGAGGTACAGCCGCGTGATCTTTGTCGGATACAGTAGGGTTGCTCTTGTCAAGTGACATCGATGGAGACGGTAGACTTCCTGTACTTAGGGTGTGCACTAAGGAACTAGGTGCATCACCTAACAAAGTCAGTGGAGCGTGAATTGTCGCGCTTGATTCGTAGTCCTTCTTTTCTAGCTTCTTGGCTTTCTTCTTACACTCCGTCGCCGCAACGGGCGAAATGACATTATTAAGATCCGGCAAGTGCTGACGCGCCAGGCTGTCGTGCGTGAAGCATAATGCTCCGTTAGAAGAAGAGCCATGAGGTGTGGTCATTGGGTTGAGTGGTATTTTGTTAATAGCATGCTGGACAGGAACCGTCAACGTGTTCACTTGGATTGTAGCTGGTGCAGGAAATCCATCCGAGCTTTCATCTTCAACCGATGAAAATTTTCGCTTAGCGCAAGGAGACACTTTCCTAGACGTTAAACCTACCGCCGTTGCGGCACTAAAAGATGAGTAACTTGCTCCATTACCGGGAGTTCGTCGCGGGTTTTTTTTGCGCTTGATTAGCTGCAATAGCTCTGGTTGATTTTCTCGAAAGAAGGGGTGGCTGAAGGTACAAATATCAGTTTTCGATTTTGTCCATTTGCGAAAGCCGAAATAATTTAGCTGGCGCTGAAAACTGTGGAAGTTCGTGTGATTAAAGTACTTGGGGAGAACCTGCTCCGTGACGGTCACAGGGTCTAAAATCTGGAGCGCTAATCCGTCCTCCGACCACCGGATCACTCGAGAGCTCTCCACATTTAAAATTTCGTATAGCAAAAGAAGAAATTTGGGCGCCTCCTGTTTCGCACGCTTGCCAGATTCCTTCATCGTGGTCATCCAAACATATGGCTGCTGCGCATCTTGCGGCGACACGCTTCTACAATCGTCCATACGGGTAGTTTGACGGCTCTTAGAAGATCTGCGCTTGGCAAGCCTGGCCTCATTTAAGGTACTTCCCATTTCAGGCAGTGCGTTCCTTAGCCCCTCGCGCTTCGTGTCGATATTTTGCGTGATAGAGTCCATGGTAAGCGCCACCTGTGCCACCATCGACGTATGTCCTTTAGCTGCAGACGTAAGCTTGGCGGACCAAGTCGCTCGTGTTCACAAATATGCGAGTGCTGGCGCTAGGAAAAGGAGTTGCAAGCCCTGTCTGCAACAGCGGGTCGCGCTCGCAAGATCGAAGGAAAAAAGGCGCGCAAATCAAGCCTAGTATGGACTTAAACTTGCCACAGCTTTAGAAACAATTGAAACCACTGGCAGCCTGGCTGGCTTCCTGGCTGGCTGCCTGGGGGCGTGCGTGCCTGAAGTGCCTGATTTCGAGGAGCCAACCAACCACCAGTGGATCGCGGGGTTTGGCGAATCTTAGCAAGTGGGGGCTACCACTCACTTGCTCAAGCTTGAGGTTTCGTTATTATTGCTTCTCTTTTTCTCATCGGTACAATACTGTTCGGGAGTCTATCTCATCAGATTTGCATAAACGATTCAAATTTGCTTTGCAAAAAAGCTCGATGAAAAAGCGAATGTCATGCCGGCGCAAGATCATGGCGCGCATCAAGATGGTGAGTTTGATCCTTGCGTCAAGCAGCGAAGCACTGCGTCTGCCTGCAAATGGTGGATTGCTAGCCTTTTATCATCGTATTGCCAAACCGTAGCTACCAAGCCATTGTCGAGACAAATACGTCCCGTTTGTCGAGGTGGCGAGAAGCTTCTCAGAAGGTTTTCTAGAAGGATTCCGCATTATAGGTCAAATATATCAATCCAGTACTATCGGTGATCTGCTGTGCAGCTGATTTCTGCCTTCTGTTACAGCGCACTAAAAGTGGCTTCTTTTCACAAAAAAACCACGTTTGATTGGGTAAGAAATTGTGTCTGGGGGCTAGGGACGTTGTCACTTATTCTTTTAGAAAAACTGTACACAACAATATGTGAGAAGAGCGTACAAGTAATCTGGGATCGAAAGAGCGTTTCTCTTTGTCGATGTGTCTGATAGTAATCCAACTCGTGAGGGTGGAACTTATATTTTGGAGTGAGACCAATACCTCGCCGGGTGTAAGAAAGGCTCCAAGAAGGAACACTAACCTGAAAAGCATTTGGAAGGCTTTCTGCTGGTAGACAACTTGTTAAGATTAGGGCGTTTAGAGGAGTGCATCTTAGTTGAGTCAAAAAAATATCTTAATTTGTTATGAGAGTCCTCCTTTCTTCAATTGATGGTACATTAATGGTCGCAGAGAGAGCTTCAACACCAGTCCGATGATGGTGTGCATAGAAATTGTTAAGGAACATGGGGGCAACAGAATATAGATGAACCTCCGAATATAACGAATTTTAACGGTAACTGCTCTGCTATCGATAAGTACTGCATCCACAACATATCATATGACAGGCAAAAATTAGAAGGATCGAATCATAGAAACTCATGTCGTGAATAGCGCGAGTCGTACGTTTTGTGCGGCTCATGGCAATACATGTCGTGAACAGGGTGGTAAGTTCTGGAATATCACAAAAGGTCGTAAAATCCTTTTCTCCAGTGCGAGCCCGGTAGTTCAAGATTCGCCGGCTTTGGACGAACGGAATAACCACATCTAAACAATGGGGTTTTATGCTAACTTTTAGTAATAGATTGAGGACCAAAACTCAAATATAGAGCCACTTCTTACAAAATTTGTCCTTCAGACTAAATGCGGTGCACAATGAACTAGTTCAAGATTCGTGGTGGAGTATTTCGATCCACGGAGTAGCACCATAGCAGAGCACAGTGTCGAGAAGATCACTCCAAACCGGAATCATTAGGGTAGTGCATAAGTCAGGTATTCATAATTAAAAATGATAAAATATCACGAATATAATTACATTTACTACTAAGTAACATCCGTGTAAAGGGGTTACACATACCCTGATAGAAAGGGTGGGTCACACAAGATGGTGTGACTGTACAAAGGTGTGGATCCCATAAGTCGGTGTAATCACACCTACACCGTGACAAGAAGCCACTACGTGGCGGGACTGGCAGTAGTTATGATTATTGATTAAGTCTAACAATCTAATTAGGAAAATCCAAGGTTTTAGATATAGGCCGCTCTCCCACAAATAAAAGTACTGTTTTTTTTTGAACGGAAGATACATTTGCCTTGTGTTAAGGTTTCGGGTACTCGTGGAGGTAGCGGATCGCGATCCGCTACACTCGTACTGGTTCTAGTATAGATCGTAAGTTCGGTGACCTTAGTCTAGCTTCCTCTAAGCAAACAGCTGCGGCAGCCCCGCTGCACTTGGTAGCACTCGTAGTCAATCTACGCCTGAGTCGTTACGACAAATCCTCTGTGAGGATAGAGCAATTCTCCTATTCGCTCCAGGGCATGCAAAACGGACTTAATAAGCTGATGTCTCTGCTTGGTTTAAGGGCGTGCAACACCTTGCTTCGCAAGTCCCCGAGGCGATAAGCGCGCGCCTAGAGGCGTTTTCGAGCGATGAAAACGCTCTGCTAGAATAACTAGCATGTCGGCGTCGACTGCGTACATGTCGCCACCGTGGATGAAGGGTGACTCCTCCAGACCCAGGCCGCTCATGGTGAGCGTCAAGACCTTTGAGGTTAAGGATGGAGAGAATATCCTGCTTTGGGTGAGAGAGCCCAAGATAGCTATGACATTTGCCATGCACCACAACGAGCAACAGCGCGTGGCGCTAGCTGTCTCCAAGATCGGGGTCGAGCGCATAAATGGGAACTGACGTGCGGTACTTCGGGTAGAGCAGCGTTTCCTTCCCGGACAGAGCTGAAGCTGCAGCTTTTGCGAGTGTTCTCGCCGCCTATCACGTACGATCGCGTTTCCTTGCCGCTTGACAGGGCAAGAAGGAGTTGGTGGACTTTGTCCGGGCGCTGTGAGCTCTCATTGCTGGGATGGCAGCCGATTCTCTCCCCGAGGCGGTCACAGTGACCGTCTTTATGGAGGGCCTCCGCGCTGGCGTGGCCAGAATGGAAGTCTTCATTGTGCATCCATCTTGTTTTGAAGAAGCAGTGAGCGTGGCATTGAATGCCAAATTCAACTTTAACTCGGCACGACTTGGTTAGAGTGTACACCCTCAGAGATTTTCGAGAGGGCCTGAGCCAATGGATCTAAGCTATGATAAGAACGAGGGGGGAGAGCTCTGAGTTGCCGGGCAGCTTTGGCTGTCGAGAGACCCGTCACCTTCTCTTTGTTGCCCCCTGCGCAAGGCGCGTCAACGTTCATCCAACCGACGTCCTGCTAATCACCAGTCTGGTTTGTGTCGGGGAACGACAACACTCAGTAGGTGCGGGGTGCCCTACTGGAGAATAACTGAGTTTTGTTGAGTCTCAAAGAGATAGAGGGCAGCAGGGCCCAGCCCCGAGAGCTTCGAGCTCTTGAACACGGAACGTGTATGCAAGCCGGACTTGCTGGTCGTAAAAGCGACCGTGAAGGGCTTTGAGAAGCCATGGAAAAATCTGGTCGATTTCGGGACGTCTAGCCATTTTCATTTTCAACGCTCCACGATTGACGGAAGTCACCTGTATGCTGAGGCGCTGGAAGCGCGGTTGAGTGCCCCGTCACTATTCGCTTAGCGACGGCTTGACGACGGCTTAGCGACGGGACTTTGTGTCACTGTGTCGAGGGTCCCTGTGGGCCTTGGTGTCAAGTTTCTCCAGTTCGATAGCGTGGAACGCTACATAGTCTTAGACTAGGATTCAAGGTATGACCTTATCCTTGGTAAGGCACGGCTAGAACATCATGAGCCCTGGATCGACTAGAGGTCGAAGACCTTGGGCGCTACGCGCACGTCTCCTGGTGGAGCTTTGGTGAGTCATGAACTCATCTCTACATGGAAGTAAAAGCGCCATTGGCGCGGGCACTAGACCGGGACGGTCAATGTGCTGGATTTCGGAGTATCCTAGTTGTCAGACACCAAAGGTGTTCCGAACAAGAGACCCGAGCGTGGCTCGCGGGCTGAACGTGAGTGGCATGTAATCCACTGAGCAATGCTCACATTACAAAGCAGTTGTTGCATGCCAAGAGTGACATGGTCGGATGAGGTCCGAGGCATCGAAGGCGAGGCCCCAGTGATGCGCGTGGAGTGGCACGCTAACCACTGGATGAAGACTGCGGAGCTAGCAGCTCTCCGTCGGGTGTTTCCAATAACATCAGGGCTCCGGTGGAGCAGCAAGTGGGGTCAACACTGGACGAAACTGAGTGCGTGTTCCTACTGGTCTCGCCGAAACGTAAATCCTCCGTTGAGAGGCAACGGCATCTCCGTATGCTAGCTGCCAACGCAAGGCGTCAAACCTGACCCAGGGTGTGTCTGCCGTGAAAGATAGCACACTGCTATATACCCGTGTCAACGTTATGACGGGAGAGGAAGACGATGACGTCACCCTCGAGGCTATTCCCGCGGTGGGAACTCTTCTTGAGCTAGGCAAAACGGCTTTCAAAGAGTTTGGCGGTGCCTTGAAGGCAGGCAATTTAGCCCAAGTGGTCAGTATACGACCGAAAGAGGAGATTAACTCGTCGTCGCTTCTGGATGAAGCTAACCTGGGGGACAATAATGGGTGCCGAGCGCACAAAGTAGATCTTTGATCCTGAAGAATTCCTCGGGTCCGTATTATTCTTCGGTGAAGGAATTACTAGTTGTCTCCAAAGACCCGCCGTCGGTCCTACCCCCGGACCGAGGAAAATTGACCTAGTTCCGGGTACCAAATATGGCGTAACACGCCAATGGCCCCTGCCCAAGGAGCAGTGTTGCGTTATTGACGCCTTCGTTCGTGTGAAGCACGACACAGGAATTGTGTCTGAGACTAAGTCTCTCCCATTTGACACCCAAGTTTCGTAACCGAATATCGAGCTGCAAGTGGCAGATCGTTCATGCTTACAATAAGCTCAACGCTGCCACCATTCCGGCACAGACTTCAAGGATGTCCTTCAGAACAACATGGATGGATGTACGAAGC